ATGGAAACAATAATTCCTAGCGACTGGTACACCATGCAATCCTCAGCCTATTCGACTATGAGACCAGAAGAACTAGATGGTGCCTGGCTATCACTGTCAACCATTCAGATCTATGGAGGAGATCCTGGATAGAGAGGGAGAACAATGTGGAACAAAACTCAAAATCATTTGGAAGAAAAAAAAAAGGGGGAACCAGGTTTGCTGGTCTGATACAGCGTGGTGGAACCACTGAGAGAGTATAGTCTAGCTGCCCTTCAGGTCTGGAATTGAACCTATACCTCTGGCTTCCTGCCAAACAAAAGACAGGCATACGAGTTGAACATTTACCTGGGTAGATACACTCCTTGGAGAGAACAATCATGGGAGAAAGAAGCGCTGTTTACATACAAGGAGACAGTTCAGGGGGCAGGAGTGCATGGAGGGATGGACACAGGGAAGTGGTAACTATCGGTAGGAAGTGGGAGGGGAGTTTTTCTTTGGGGTAAATTGTAGTCAATGTCATGAGACAACGTGTGCGTGAACTGCTGTATGGAAAGTGAATTTGCTCTGTAAACTTTCACCCAAATCACAATAAAAAAAAAAAAAAAGCTATTCTTCCTTTTGGAGGATCTGAGTTTCCATCTGGTATGATTTGCCTTCAGCCTGATGAACCTTCTCTTTAGCATTCCTTGTAGTGCTTATCTACTTGTGATAAATTGTCTTAGTATACTTTTATATAAAAATCTCTTTACCTTCTTTTTTTTGGTCTTAATTGTGATTTAGGTGAAAGTTTACAGAACAAATTGGATTTCCATTTAAGAAGCCACACACTCAGTTTTGTGACATTTACGGCAATCCCCATGTTGTAATAGCATTCTTCCTTCCCGCTTCCTCCATGCACCCACCTCTTATCTTCATTTTAGTTTACCTTCATTCTTTAAGAATATTGTTGCTGGATATAGAATTTGGGTTTGACAATATATTTTTTTTCTCTCAGCACATTTAACGATTCTGTTCTATTCTCTTCTAATACCTGGTTTTTGATGAAAGTCAGTCTTTTATTATATCAGTTTCTCTGCATGTACTTTTTCATTCTTCTTTTAAGATTTGCACTGCCTTAGTTTTCAACAGTTTGACTACACTATGCCTTGGTTTAGACTTTTTCATGTTTACTGATGGTTAAGTATTCTGTGTCTGAATTTTCTACCTGTTATCAAATTGGGAAATTTTGTGACATTCCTTTGAGTATTTTTTTCTATTCCACTCTTTCTTTGCTTTCTTTTTTGGCTTCCAAACATAGATCAGACCTTTAGTGTTATTATCTAAAAGGTCACTAGGGCTCTGTTCATTTTAGTTCCCAATTTTCTAATCTGTTTTGGGGGTGGGTTCTAGTTCTTCACATTGGGTAATTTCTGTTCTTCTCTCCTCAGGTACATTTACTCTTTCCTCTGTCATGTTCAGCCAATTAATTCTTTTCAGTGAATATTTTTACTTCAGATACTGCATTTTTTTTGGACCTGAATTTCTATTTCATTTCTTTTTATCCTTTTTGTTTCTCTGCTAAGATGTCCTATCTCTTTCTCTCTCTATGTGTGTGTGTGTGTGTGTGTATGCACACATATTACATATATGGAGCTCTGGTGGTAGTGGTTAAGGCATTTGGCTGCCAACCAAAAGATCAGTGGTTCAAACCCACCAACTACTCCATGGAAGAAAGGTGAGGCAATCTGCTTCAGTAGATTTATAGCCTTGGAATCCCAATGGGCGTTGCTATGAGTCAGAATTGACTCAATGGCAGTGAATATATATCATATATCATCAAAGACAGTTTAATAGCCAGTTTAAAATCCTTATTTACTAAGTCAAACATCTGGGTCATCTCAGTTGATTTTATTTTCTCTCAAGAATATATCTCATTTTACTAGGTCTTTCCATGTCAGGTTAATTTTAGACGGAATCCCAAACATTATGAATGTTAATTTGTGGAGATTCTGGATTTTGTAGTTTTTCTCTGATGAGTGTCATTTCTTTTGTTTTAGCAGGGAATTGTTATCTTGTTGAACTCGAACTTCAAATTCTGATCTTGGGCAAAATTCTGATCTTGGGCATATCTCTAGCCTCGTTTAGATTTTTGTCTTTAGCTAAGCAGATCAGTATGAATGTTCCATTCATGCTTGGATCAGGGGGGTCTGTCAGAGATGTTGGCAGAGTTTGGGGATCTTCCCTCTGACTCTTTCCCTTCAAAGATCAGAGCCCCCTATTCTCTTCAGTGGCCACAGTTTTCCTGGCTTCAGTGTTGTGGTTTCCTCCAACAAAACAGACTAATTTTCCCACCAACACCCCTCCCTGGTTAACTCGCAGGCTATACAAAGTGTACCTAATTGATCTAAGACTAAAAGGTACAAAAATGGAAACTTTTTATTATATTGATTATTCCCCTGGTTTACTGAGGTATAATTTAAATATAGTAAAATTCACTTGACATTGATTTTTTTAAAGTATGTCATTGTTGTTATGTGCTGTGGAGTCAGACCTGACTCATAGCGACCCCTCCTTGGGTTTCCAAGATGGTATCACTTTGGAAGTAGATTGCCTAATCTTCTTTCTGAGGAGTGGCTGGTGGGTTTGAACTGCCAACCTTGTGGTTAGCAGTCAAGTGCCTTAGGCACTACACCACCAGAGCTACTGAGTTTTAAATAAACTACCCGAACATGAATATACCCACATAATACTTTCACTGTGGTTTTGAAGATATCAAACATTATTAAAAGTTCTAAGTTTACACAAAAAGAAATATCACTCTCAATGGCTATGTGAGGCCATACAGTAGCTCATATACTCTTAGTATATGCCTAAAGGGGTACATAATAGTCTTAGTAAATCCCTAAACTGTATGTTACAAAGACCACCTAAAATTAGAGAGTAGGATATACAACTAACCTTTTGGCCTTTTTTCTTTGATGTGTTATTTCTAAGAGAATTGCCCTTCTTGAAGATTGAAGTCTGTCCAGGTGACTTAGTCCGACCTGATTTCTTGGCCTGCTGTGCTGGCAATATTGGTTCAGTTTTCTGTGGAGACTGCATTGAACGACGGGTCACTTTAGAAGGGGAAGCTTGTGATTTTGCTATACTCTTTGTAATGGCAACTGAGGAGAAAGAAACACAATACACACAAATTAATGTGAAGTCCATAATTAAGGCACTGTGTTCTTAATGACTCAAATGAAGTTAACTCAAATTTTAAAAACATTCCCAAAAGTTATTCACTGAAAACCACTTAAAATAAAGATACTATTTAAAATGAAGTTTCGGGCACTTTAAGATTTCATATTATCAGTCCAATTCTCCCCCGCCCCTTCCAAAAAGATACATTTATAAGAAGCATGAGTAACTTCAAACTAGCACAATGAAAATTTTTAGTGGTTGTTTTGTGTGCTTCCCATATTTTTAGTCCTTAGCACAGAAAAGACTTTCCTTCAGGAAACATTATCCAATTATGCCATGTTCAGAAATCGTTTTACCCATCAATGTAGAAAAACAGAGTGAAGCAACCACCTAGATCTCCTGGTTCCTCTTTTCAAAGGCCAGGAGAATTCCTTAATTGTCAAAACACTTAAGTTCCTATAGGTATGTCTAATAATAAAGATGTACATACAAAAATACAAACTTTAGATTAATGTTGTCATGGAAAGTCCACAATGATTTGTTTATACTACTTATCTAGTACTCCAATCCAGACAGTTTTAGTATTTCAAATGAAGGTTCCTTTTGTCTATGTTCACAGTTAAGTAAAAAAAAGATATTTTTACTATTAATCTCTAAATAATTTCAGTATAACAAAAAGTGCATTTTACATAGTAAAAGTTCCTAATGCTAAATAAAAATTTTCATAGGAAGAAGAGTATAAGTAAAAACATTTTTGCATCTATGCAAAAATCAATTGATTTTATCGTACAATTTCATTGCTCTTCTTATACTCAAAAACTGCATGTAAATCTGCCATTCACTGGACAAGAATTCTCTCTGCCGCCTTCTCATCTACTTTCTACAGCTTAACAAGCTAGGAGGAGGGAGGAACAGCTTACCCCCAGCTGCCAAGGCAAACTGAGGACCACTTAGCTCCTGCCATCACTTCCTCCTTATTTACAATAATCTGTCTACTTATACCAGTCTAAGTCTTCTTACCTCATTACCATCATCTATCCCACACTCCAGGCTCACTTTTACTTTCTTAAAGAACTCAGGTAACCTAACTCATATTTCTTCTTATACAGTCTCCTCTCATCATTTTCAAGAATTTAACCATCCATACTACTGATGCTCCATTTAACATCCTGACCTCATCATTGGAGGTTTCAGTTACTCCCTGAAATGTATATACTTGGCAAATTCTGAGACTCTTCTAACTCTAATATAACCAACTCTGCCCCCCCCCAATTTCTTTACTTGTCATTTGTACTTCATACTGACTGACCATGCTTTTCATTTTCATTGTGACATCTAGCCACATGCACTCCTTTTTTTCATCTAATCCATTAGCTTTCTGCTTGCTTTACTTAACTCCCTACTCTATATCTATATCTATAGCCAACTGTCCACCTCCATCAATAGCCCTTTAACTAGTATCCTTTCCTTATCACACTCCTTGATCTTTAATTATATCCAGCAGGTCAGCTCCCACCTCCAAGTCAACTAGAGAATAAAAGACCAGCAAATTTTACCTGTAACAAGCCAGATAACAAATATTTTACATTTTATAGGCCATATATGGTCTCTGATTCATATTCTTTGTTTGTTTTTATACCCCTTTAAAAATATAAAACCCATTCTTAGCTCATGGGTTATAAAAAAATAGGCCACTGGCTGAATGTGGCCCTCAAGCTATAGTTTGCCAACCTCTACTACAGAACATTGGGATACTACTGGTCTGTTTAAAATTGACACTAACTTCCACTGGAGTGTCACTGCTCTGACTTGCTGATTTCCAAGTATGTTTCTATGCCAAAATGTTTTTCCTGTTTAAGTTCTCATTGTACTCCCACTCTATTCCAATGAGCAAATGACCCTACATTGTACCTTAAGAGAAGATTAAAGGCTATCTTTCGGGAATGACCTTAACCATCCCACTTTTTCTTAAAATACTTTTATTTTCAATCATTCTCATCTTTTCATCTTGTATCTATTTTTCTAAGTCTAACCTCCTTTTATTTATGCCTTAAAACTCATCTTTGGTTCCTCTGGGACATTACATTTTCAGTTATCTCCTCTCTCTTCAGGTATTTAATTACTTTTGCTTTTTCCATTATACAACCCTTCTTTCTATCCTTTAACAAAAAAGGCTATCAAATTCACTCCCCTGGGTCAAGGTGCACATGTTCAAAAACAAAAAGCCAACAACATTATGAACTCCTATGTGATGTTGCACTAAATAATCAGTAGGTTCTCTCTGACAGGTAGTTTTGGGGTTTTTAAAAAGGAGATGTGGAAACATGCTTTTAAGGAGAAACATTAACAAGTACAGATAAAAATATGCTGGTAAAACTTTTCAAGCTTGAGAATTTAACCTTATTGAATATTTATTTCCAAATAGTACCTTATTAAATATATGTTTCTGCTGACACATGCAGGTGCTTTATTGCTGAAAGATAGTGCTTGCCTTCTCTGAACCGTGAAAAGATATTAGCACATACAATTATCACAGAAAAGAAAATACACTTAGAACTGAAGAGCAACCACCTATTTCCAGTTACTATTATATATGTGGAGCTCTGGTAGCACAGTGCCTAAGGCATCTAACTGCTAACCAGAAGGCTGGTGGTTCAAACTCTTAGGGTATACATGGCTTATAATAATAAGAATTGAAATGAATAGATATATAAATGAATATGTACCTTGCTTTTGAGCCAAAAAGACCTCATAGAGGTATGGTTGCTGTTCTGGTTACCTAGTGCCGCTCTGATAAGAATATACCACAAATGGGATGGCTTGAACAAACAGTGTATTCTCTTACAGTTCGGGAGGCTAGAAGTTTGAGTCCAAAGTGCCAGGCTCTAGGGGCTGTGTGAAAGCCTCTTGCGCCCAGCCCACTGAAGCTAGAGGCATTTCTTCATTTAGGCCGCTACAGGCTGCTGAGGTTAAGGCTGACAAATAAAATGGCACAGTCTCGATGTTACCAAACCACACAAGGGGCCGTTGATTCAAGTCCACTAAAGTCCCAGGATCAGCAGGGCATGGCAGGCTGCTGAATAATAACTCAGCTACATGCAGGGTTCAAGCATGCCATAAACTAGAGACCATTCCCAAAGCTGTTTCTTGTATATGGGGAGCAGACCACATACCCAAAAAGGCAGCTACTCAGCTGCTCAGAGTAGATTGCACCATGGAGTTGATTACCAGTCTCATCATGGGGAATACTACATCCAGCTGCCCAGCCACTCAACCAGGCCCAGCCAAGTTGACACACACACTTAACCATCACATTTGCTTACTATTCTGCAGATATTCTAACCATCATTTAGTTAATACCAAATGTATTTAGCATACATCTTGTCTGTTCTTTTTACTAGTTTAGGCAATTTGAGAGAAACAAATATGGTCCCAGTCGAAGAGTTCATTATTCATATATGTAATATATGTATTTGTGCATAAATATTTCCTAAAGTAGTTAGACCACCACTTGTTTGTCAGTTTGTCATCGTGTGGTGGCTTGAATGTTGCTGTGCTGGTAGAAGATATACCATTGGTATTTCAAATGCCAGCAGTCACTCTGCTGGTATTTGAAAATATGTTCTTGAACACAGTGGCAAAACTCAATGGAAGACATGATGAAGTAAAAGAACTGAACAGAAGATTTCAGAGGGCAGCTCAAAAGGACAAATAAAATACTATAATGAAGTGTGCAAAGACCTAGAGTTGGAAAATCAAAGGGGAGGAATAAGCTCAACATTTGTAAAACTGAAAGAACTGAAGAAAAAATTCAAGCCTTGAGTTACAATACTGAAGGATTCTAAGGGCAAAATACTAAACAAGGAAGCATCAAAAGAAGATGGAAGGAATATACAGAGCCACTGTA